GAGAGAGAGAGAGAGAGAGGTAGAGACAGACAGAGAGAGAGAGGTAGAGACAGACAGAGAGAGAGAGGTAGAGACAGACAGACAGAGGGAGAGAGGCAGGGGCAGAGAGAGGGAGAGAGACAGAGTGGATGTTGCCGTGACAGTGTCACCAAAGCCATTTAATTGGCTGAAAATTGTCGCCTCAGCCCCTTGGTGCCATCGCGTTCTGTGTCGTCACCCACGCGATCTCACCGCGCCGCCCCCCCCCCCCATGGCCCTCTCGCCGTCGCGATGGCCAGCCGTTGAGGGCTGGGTATTGATCTGGGTTAGTGGCAATTTTTACTTTCTCCTATTCGGGTAATAGAAAAAAGAGAGCGAGAATGGGGGAGAGAATAGTATGCGTTCTCGTGCATTCGTGCAAAGAAAGTCGTGGAGATATTTACGGTTAACAAAACTGCTTTGCATTCTGCATTTCGCGTGAATATAAGTATGCCTTTATGTGCGCGTATATGTAAGCATATGTGTGTAATGTGTATACCTATGGAATTTGAATACAAGTGAGTGGAAGTAAGAGGGGCAAGGTGAGAGTGTAACAAAAAAATGAAAGAAGGTGAGGTATTGAACGAGAGAGTGTGAAATGAAGAGGGTGTGAGATGAGCAGGGTTCAAGGGGAGATGAGACGCAAGTCACACACACAAGAAATAAAAAAATGTTTATATAATATCCAACAAAATATGTGGGTGGGTGTGGGAAATGAAGTGGAAAAAGTAAAAGGACTAGAAAGAAAATTATGAAATCTGAAAGGAAATAAAAAAAGATGAAATATGGATGAAAATAATTCCGAGAGAACACATATGTTATAAACTTTGCAGGGAAAGTAGTATTTGATGAATAAATACACGAATTAAAAGTGACGTGAAAAATATCCTTTGATGTGTATTACAACTTTTAAACTGCTAGCTTAAGTTCTGCGTATTCCTTAAGTTGTAGCAAGTTACTATATAATTTTCGCTAGAAAATTGCCGAGAAGAAACGACATACTTTAACAGAATTATTTTCGTTTAACTCAGGTAACGATGACAAAATATCTTTGAAGTATTTCATGAAACAACTTACTTAATGACCTCTGTGGTTCTTTGGCATATCTTTAATATTTCCGCAGCTAGAGCTCTTTCGATGCCTTAAAGGAGGCTTGAGGGCGAACCATTGACTTCTAGAGATACACACTTCCGCGCTCTACATAAATCATGTCCAAGAAGTCGAATGTGGTACACAATTGAATTTGCGTGCTAGCGTAGTGATATAAGTACGCTCGACTTGAGCCGACTCTAAAGGGGGAGGGAACAAAGAAAGCAGAAAACACTTGTAATGGAGATGACAGACTCGTACGTCCCTCAAATGTAACATTTTTATTGAAATAACAAAGAAAAGTGCACTTTTTACGTGATTCCATTATCTCGCTTTACTTCCTACGAAGAAAAGTGCGCTGAAAATCGGCAGTTTTTGGACACAACATTTTATTGCCTGATCCTGGTACCGAAAAAGTGGATACATCTTGTTCCTCTCCATCTGTGGTCAACGCTGGCGCCTAAACCGTTCAGACGATTTTCGCCAAGACTTGGTATTCCTTGATCGTTATGAACGAACTCGAGACCTGCGACTTTGAAACAGATACTTTTATTTTTGGGGTCACATTTTCACAAAAGTGACTGTAAATTTCTTCATTGAATTTTGTCTTCGAAAAGAGCAGAAACAATAAAAAACGCATTCACATTGTCATTGAAATCCCTGAATTTTCAAAAATAACCAAAGTTCAAATTTTTCTTGGCGTCTTCCTACAACTACAATACTGAATGGAGATTTTTAATTAATAAAATCTGTTGTCCAAAGACGTCTTGAAATTGGGTTAGGTTAGAAAATATGAATAGTTTTGCGTAATTTTCTGTGAAATATAGTTCATTTTTAACAAATATTTTCCTTTGAAAAACGTTCTAAATTTTTTCTTTAACTTTTTTACTCGTATGTATTAAAATACGTTAAAATGGCTCTGATCCCTTTTTTGCCATATTCTCTACATTTTCGAAAATGACGAAATATTAATATTGAAAAAGGCATGAAGATAGAAATTTTTGTCTTAAATTAAATATATTCTAAGAAAACCAGATCTTTAAAAAATGTCATATACATTGTTTTGAAGAAACTATTAATTTTCGCATAATATCTGCTTGAACTTCATTAAAATTTAAATTGTTTTTCTCAAAAACGGCTTTAAATTGTTTTCTTAAAAAAATGTTTCTTCAAAGTCAGCAAATAACAATAAGAAAATATGTCGCTTATCCCATTTTCAGAGAACACTGTATTTTCGAAAATTGCAGAAAATGAACATTTCAAAGTACAATATTTCTAATAGAAATTTTTTCTTAAATATATTTTCAAAAAATTCAATTTTTAAATAATCTCATGTACAGTTTTAAAGAAAATGAGTAATTTTGTCAAAATCTGAGGTACAGTTAATGCAACTTATAAAAATAATTTTTCCTCACAACACGATTGCAAGTTTTTTCTTTATATTTTTCCTCTTATACTGTAAAATCGACTGACAAAATGAAAAAGCATCATTGTTATTGAACTTTCTGAATTATTGAAAATGGTTAAAGTTAGAAATAAAACGATGAAATATGTGTTGTATCATCACTAGTTTCGTTTTATCATACACTTCTGAAATAAGGAAAAACACAAACGGAAATAGGCTAGCAAAATTAATTAGAAGGTCATGATATCGTTAACATGATCATATTTACAAATAATGGCAATGATAATTACATTTATTGCTGCTATAAATCATACAAATGAAGTTTGCAACATCAGTACTTGAACTTCAATATCAGGGATCTCAAGGGGGCGACCCCGATATCTGTGAGGTCCTGCTAATAAATAAACAGTCACGTCTTATAGATAAGCAATAAATTTGCTTATCGTCTTAAAAAACAGGAAGACCATAGAATAATATTAGAAATTTGCAAACCCAGAATAGATAGATTCTAAATGTTGCAAAAACTAATACAAATACACATAGAAAAGGAAAATTAAATTGCAATTTTGAGAAAACTCTAGAATTAGACTTAAAATCTCTCGCAATCAAAAGTCCCTAGTACTTTTCGAATTTAAATTTCACAGAGTTTATTTGCCTAGGAGTCAAAATTTCCCACACCTGTTTTTTAAATCATTTATTATCGTTTAAAACAAGGACGTATATTAAATATCCTTCAACACTTTTGCATCTTGCATTCTCAGCATCTTGGCCGGTTTCCTTTTCAACTACCAACCGCACAACTAAAATTGTGCAAAGCAAAGTTTGTCGAGTTAACATGTTTTTTAACCTCACAAGAAAATGTTGAATAATATCCTAATTTGTGCTATATAAGTTTTGTAACTTCAGGTCTTTGCCTATTGTGGTCATTTCGTTTTACTCGAATTATGACCCAACAGGCACTTTAATCATCTAATTGCCGTTAGAAACTCCAACTAGTTGTCGAAAATTAATATAGAGGCTTTCTCCATTCAGTATGTTACAGGTTTGCTTTTATTAGTCGTTTACTTTCATTTAATTTTTTTCCTCTTTAAAATAATTTTACTTCGAATAATAAAAAAGATCCGGAAATACTTTCTATTAGCATTTTTTGATGTTAGTGTATATTTTCAAAACCGTTCTTATCAATCTTCTAATAAATATTTTCCTTTAAAAAGTATTTTATTGATTAATGGGACAGGGATTTGCTTTTTGCATTAATAGTGCAATATAAATTGCCTGTAACTTCTAAACTCATGAATAACCGATTTCCCTAACGATGCTGGTCATCCTTATACTACAATAAATATAGAAATGCACTTTCTTCAAATTTTACGTACAGTATAGTGGTAGATAAACGCTACAAAAATGAGAAAGTACTTATGAAAACGAAATTTCATGCTCTACTTAATCTACGGCTATCGTACTTCATATCACGGAATTTTTGTCGTCAGTTTGTTGGCATTTTGTTTGAAGACATTTTGTCTTATTACAATGAGATAGAAATATAAACAAACGGCTTAGTAACTCGATCAGATATTCACACAATGTTTTATGTGGTGTGTTTTTTTTAATAGAAAGATGTTACCTCAGTAGCGTGAAGTACGAAAAGTGGAGATAAATATTACCTTTGAATTCTAAAAAATTTTTGCAAAATTAATTAATCTTGCTAGGATTAAGATAAATATTTTTCTTTTGGTACTCACCGACTTGGTCATGCCAGGAAAGTGCAGGCAGACTGGTTCCTCTGGCCACGATTTGGTAACGTAAAAGAAGAAATCCCACACACGTTCATTCAGGAACGTCTTTAATGTTTGATGGAACTGCAACGGAAATAACAACGGTTAAGTAAGTCGTTTCATAAATACATACGTATGCAAAAAAAGAAACTCTTAGAATGTATTTCTAAAAGCCAAATTTCTCGAGAAAATGAACCGGGCTGGAGCAGCAAAAATCGTCTAAAAAAGAGATAAGTTCATAGTACTTAAAATTTTAAAAAAACAGTTTAAATTATGGTACGAGGACTGATTCATGTTTTCAAGTTACCAAATATCCACAAATTAAGTAAATACTCTTATATACAGATTTGTTATATTTCAACGTAGAATCTATAGTGGTAAGTTGCTGATTTTGAAGCGTCGTTGCCTAAAAGGGACCGCAAACATATTAAGAGCATTTAGATCTATTATTATTATTATTATTATCTACTATTAAGGGCATTGAGATCATACAAGTGGTCTCTAATGCTTGTGGTTGGTCTAGTGGGATTATTTGACAATTTTTAGAGAGTAGCAGTCATTTTAAAGTGCAAGATCAGTGTTTAAGAGTTTTCGTAGAGTGACTATTTTTGTGCCTTATATCATACGTGTGAAATCATGATGCCTTATTTGTACACGGTGAAGGTATTGTGGGCAAAGGGAATAAGTAATTGCAGTCTTTAAGATATACCTTACATTATGAGTTTCAGAATAAGCATACACATGATAATACTAATGTGGCTACTGAAGTAGATGAACAAAGTTATATGTTCTTTGTATCTGGACGAAAGTTGACTACATAATTCTGCCGTGTTTGAAGCGGTCTATCTTAGAATGTTGGTAAGCATTTTTTGTATGTTTCTTCCACCTAAACAGAAAGCATTGGAATGGAAAGTTTGTACATAGAATGTGATTTTTGTATTGTAAATAATATTGTAGGCGTTTGTGTGAGACAGGGACCTGACGTGGGAGAGAGTAAACAAAATGTAAGAAAAGAGAACAATGTATCCAGAAACTTACATATTGTTCAATATCCATAAAATTAATACTTAAATAGGACCTAAAAATAGAAGTAATCAAGTTCTGAAAAAAGGAAGTTTGTTGCGGGTGTGAGCAAAGTCGTAACATGTTTGCATGTAGGAGGATACCAAAGCTGTGGGTTCGAAACTCGCGGAAGACATAAATGATTTAGTAAGAGGAGGGGGGGGGGGTCAGAGTCCCTTACGTATTAAATGTTCACCATAATCCTTCCTTAATCGTTTGGCCTGAACAGGCAACTATGTGAAGTTTGTGTCTTTGATTGAGGGATTAGAATCCACACTTAGAGCAGTGGTACAAGCATCAAGGTGGGGTCGAGAATAGATTTGAAAGATGTTCGGAGTGCGTGAAGGCGCTCTTCACTACAACTTAGTGGTGTTGTAGGCACCGGGAGAAGCATTTTTTAAACGCCGAAGATAAAGGGAAACCTACGAATACGAGAAAGTGTGTGCCATTCTATTGCACTAGTGTCACTATGTTACGACGATTCCTGAGGGAATGACCAAATACACATTTTCTCGTAGGAATATTTATGAAATATTGTAAGGTAATTTGAGGAGAAAAACGACAGATCTATTTTATTTTATATAAACTAATAAACACTTTTTCACTACATTTTTAATTTTTCTGTGCGCAAATACCCAAATATAATTAATTTTGTTGCAAAAAGTGTAATTGTAATGCTCAGTATTACTTTGTCCGGAACAGGGAAATATTTTGGCAACAGGATTCACTTTTGTGCAGATATCTTCCTGTTTTTTTGGATAGCGGGTGGTCTGATAACGAGACAAACAACTCATTACCAACATCGGAAAGAACGAACACGACTTGTCTATATTGATGGATTGCACTTCTCTTGACCCAGTAGAATGCTAGCTGTTTTCAGGGTGTAACACAAAGAAAAAAGACTAGAAAGTGATGAGTCAGATCGACTTCAAACTACGTGACGTTGCGGCAATAAAATTCTATCCTGAAGTTAATGTTTAAAACTTGAATATTCTATAAATAAGCGAATTCACATGTACCTTATTTGATATTAAAGTTTGTAGTAGTAAAGTTTAGTTAAAGTCTTGTCTCGAGTACGCCATATATGTCAAAATCTTGCATCATTCCATTTATCTTTTTTTTTTTTAAATAGCATTCTCGCACTCGGTGGGCAATAGTATACAACTTTATATATCCATCACAATCTTCATCCCAACTCCTTCCATACGTGCTTTTCTTTGCCTCGGCTAGCGGTTCTTGCTGTGAATCAAGGCCCCCATCATCTGGCTTAAGTGACGAGAGCGCCGCCTCGCCGCTGCAAGCAACCGGTATTTTCGAAGCAGGAAAAACTCACAGAAATCCGGGAAGGAACTTAACCGCTGGGCGCTGACCATGAATATCTCATGTCACAGAGGATGGAAGTGATGGGGTGTTGTCACTCCGGCACTTCCCCAAACTCTTGCCATTTTGAACTTTACTATTCGGCTGCGAAGAGCCCTGCGATGCTTGAAGGGAGTAGTATGGAATGAAACTTACTCCGAGTGGATCGAGCTCACTTGCTTTGGGATTATTCGCTTCGCAGTCGCTTTTTCTTTCTGGCAACCGCTTACTCTGTAGAAAGGAAGTTATGTAATACTGCGCGAAAAAACGGCGTATTTTCGGCAGGAAAAATCGAATGACGCAAAACGTATGTTTGTCCGTCCGTGCGTCTGTGAACAACACTAGCGTCTAAACCGTTCAGTCAATGTTCTCCAAAACTGATAATCCCCAATCGATCTGGCTGTTATCGCGGTCCCTTCTTTTTGAAACCGATATTTTAATTTTGGGAGGGTACTTTACTAGAAGCCCCTGCGACATTTTCGAAATTTTCGAAAAAATAATTAAAATAAAATAAAATAATTCCATTGTTTTTTATTAAATTGTGTTGCTTGTTAGTGTGAAGGACTTTAAAAAAAATGGTCTCAGGTCTCATTTTCGTTGAAAACTCTGATTTTTAGAAAATCGGCGTCTTCCTTCAACTACAATTATGAAGATTGAGATATTTTTCCTTAACGATATCTGTTCCTTAAAAATAGATTTTAAAATATGATCATGTATAATTTTTCGAAACTTTCCGTGTAATTTTGCAAGAAAGAACGGGCGAGAAAGTACGTGCGGTTTTAGCACCACTAGTTTCTGGAACTCTCGCTCCGGGCGCTGCCGCCGCGAAAACATTGAATAACGCCGACCAGCTAGCCGCCATGTGCTCTTCCGTTCGCGACTACTAGCGCGCCAACCTCCGCGGACTATTTCTGATGTGTATTTTGTGGGTACAACCCGAACCAGGTCTACGCTGGTAGACTGTAATGGAAATGAAAGTGGCGAGTAGTTAAGAGAGTAGTGATCGCGAAATCAACAGGTTTCCGTTAACTGCCGATTGCATTGTCGTGCAGAGTCAACTTCAACGAACTCCGGACGAGAGGCATCGGGTCTGCGCGAACAGAGTTGCAACACACACCCGCCATCTTGAGCAATTTGCCGAGCCGGGTTGGTGCTTTGGCAGAGCCCTGGCATTTTTTTAAATTTTACTATTATTAAAATTTTATTTATAATTGACTTTGCATTGTTCAATTTACATATTAACTGTGAAAGTGTTTGATGGTCTTAATCTGTCTTATGATAACTTAAAATTACACATATTACAAAAATATACAAATTTGTCAAACATTTCGCTCTCCCACTGTCGTTTGTACTATAAGCTTAACGAATATTGGGCTTAAGTGCCTAATTTTATACCTGAGTGTGATTTGCATTTATATCTGCCAAATTACCTAATACCTAATTATATCTTGTTTAATCTAATGCAGAAGGTCTAGGTAAATTACACAGAGACAAACACACTTACAAACGTGGTCAGACTCAAAGACTTCACATATATACTACGTATGTCATCGTGCTGAATCCGAACCTGAAGCCAGAATTACCAGTTGTTTTTTTTAATCGTAAAACCACTATGAAATTGTAAGTTGTAAATTTTGACGGTAATTTTTCACGATACAAAAAAAACTGGCGGGTGATGTCGCAATTTTGGCTTCGAATTCGGACTCAGCGCGCCGACATACATAGAGAAACATGTGTCGTCTTGGATCTAACAACTTTTTTAAAAATTTGTGTGCCTGTGTCATCTTTCGTAGTGAAACAGTCTGAATACGAAATGAAGCGTGTCTGCTCGTCATTTTTTCTGCTGTGGAAAAGACTTACCTTGAGAGCGTCGGGCAAGTACTCTGAAAGGAAGTCCAGTATTGCCGGCAGTTCGTCGTCCTGTGCTAATCGGAAATTCTTGCCTTCGGGCACTATTTCCATCCTGCGATCCAGGAATGAGCGCATGGAACAGAAACGAAAAGACACGATCAGTTAGTGTATCAAAGGAATGGAAATTTAAACAGGCCATAAATACATGTCAGCGTAGCTTGGAAATCTAAGATTATTTTCATCTAAAAATAAATACGCTTGTATTTCACAAATGCGGATATATATATATATATATATATATATATATATATATATATATATATAAAACAAATATTATTCTCATTTGATTTCTTTTCATTCACAACATGTCAAGTATTCGTTCCTCACCGAGGATACATAGCGCTACAAGTATATCGAGCTCAAATCCATGCGTAATACGTTGCACTGTCGTTATTGAAAATAGATAACTTTGAGAGATATTTCATTGTATTACGCATTGAAGTGAAGTGCAACTCACCCTTGATGACAGTTACTGAAGAGTAATAATATTCAATTCCAAAATAATTTATTTCTGTGATTGATGCGCAGTAGGAAATATGAGGGTGCAGGTCACTTGCTTTTAAAACATCCATTAATTTCTACTGAGACAATTAAGACTTACTCCTTTTTGAGTACAACAACCAGATGCGATAATAAAGACCGCCATCTTTGAATACAGAAGTTAAAAAGCCACGAAAACTTAATTTCGTTGATATCTCATGAAAGTGACCTAGATAAACTGGACAAATATTTGCTTTAAATATATTTTATGAGTATTGATTCTATATATCTTACAAGTACAATTTAAATGTGTTTGCATTAATAATAAATTCGGCATGATACGCTATAAAGACGGTATATTTCAAAGCTGTGACGAGATAAGTCGTTTTTGTTGTGATTTTCGTGATCATACGTATAAAATTGAGTATGTTACGAACTCTACCTTCCTGGAGGTGAAACTATTATTCTCTAGTGTAATCTCACATCAATGCAGGTTCCTTACGTTCTTAGTATATCTTCTCCATTGCAACAATATCTTAACGAAGCTGTTAATTATGCATAATACATAATAAATATTACCCAAATTCGGCAGGTAAAATTAAGATAGAGTGAAGAAAATTAATTTTATGACATTTTCCACCTCATATTTTTGTAGATATATAACCAGTTTTCGACCAATGTTTCATAATTGTCTTCTTTCTTTGTCCCGAGAAATGCGTACACAACTCTCTTACAGGAATGCGAAGCTCAATGCCTCGCAATTTTACTTCCAATATTTCATCCAACATGAGTTTTTTAATTTGCGGGCCTATCAAAAATTCCTTCCTTCAATTTTGTATTACCCGTCAACACAATTAATACACTGCTTTGAAACTATATTTTGATGAATCTGTAAACAATTTCTATTCATGTGAAATATAGAGAAAACACAATTCACTCATTAACCGCCTAATGTCTGTAAGTTTGGGTGTAAATCATACACAAGTTATCGGATTGATTTGCACACTTACGGTGTGAAATTTCGATTAGTATTTTCTCGAACCAATTCAATTCAACAGATCATGGCCAAATTTCACTGGTAATGAAAAAGTGGTTAAATCTTGTTTCTGTTTGTAGAAATTACTGACATTTTGAAATGGGTATTTTGATTTTTTGAGGGAGCTTTACAAGAAGTCTCAAGGTTTTCAAGATTTTCTAAAAAATGACTCCAATTTTTAAAATTAAATTTTGTCTTCAAATATCATAAAAGACGATTGAAGGAATGGCGTCGATCTTGTTTTCGTGGAACTAACTGATGTTTTGAAAATTGCAAAAGTTCAAAGTTATTTCGACGTCCTCCTAAACCTACAATATTGAAAATAGTTTTTTCTTAATGAAGACTGTACTTCAACGGCAGATCTTAAAATAAGATCCTATTAGATTTTTCAAAAATATAAGTAGTTTTCGCGTAATTATGTGTGAAACAGGTAAATATTAAACAGTTATTTTCTCAAACACGACTCCAATATTGTTCTTTAAATTGCTTCCTCGTATGTGTTAAGGTGCGTTATAAGAGTACTTCTGGTCCCATTATCGGTTAATTCTCTCTATTTTCAAAAATTGCAAAAACTTAACATTTCAAAACTACAATATTGAAGATAAAGATTTGTATCTTAAAATCGGTTCTAAGAAATCATATCTTTAAAAACAGTCATGTAAGAATTAGTTGTAAAAACGAGTAGATTTCGAGTAGAACGTAAGTTTTGTTTCACGTTAATGCACTTTATTGATTTTTTAAAACTAATCCAACTTTTTTCTTAAAAGTTTATCCACGGCAGAGCAAAGCTTGCGTAGTAAAATGTAGAGTAGGGATCAATTTTGTAAAACTCGCGAAATTTTCAAAAATTGCGAAAGGTAGAAATAATGGGAGATATTATAAGATGTTGCAGCCCCAATTAATTATTAATTGCTGTCCTTCCTACTGTTGCAAGTGGTCTCGGCTGCATTTTAGTGTTTGTATAATTGAGTGCTGAGTATGACACGCTGAAAGCTGCAGAAGGTTTTTGAAATGAAGACCTTCAAATGACATTTTTACTGGAAGACGGCATTTTGGCATTTCAAGGCACAAATACTATTTTTTTTTAAAACAAATTTTCGAATGAAATCACATGCTATTTAATTTTTGACTTAAATACATTTTTGGATGTGTTTGTATCATAAAATTCGCAATCAAAATGTAAAACTGCAAGTTGAATAAACAAACGAATAAAATGCATAACCATGCCTATGCTTTTTCATCGTCACCAAATTTTGTTTCTTCTTCCAATGTGAGTTCTTCAACTCAGTTCTCCCTCTGGGCGCCACTGCGAGCAGGTGTTCTTTACGAGGGGCATCGCGGAAAGGAGCTTCTGAAGATGAAACCTCCGTTGAGGAGCCCCCTTCAGAGAGCTTTGTCTCGGGCGGCGGGGAAGTCGCGGGATGTGTAGTGGTGACGAGTGGTGACGAGTGGTGACGAGTGATGACGAGTGGTGACGAGTGGTGACGAGTGGTGACGAGTGGTGACGAGTGGTGACGAGTGGTGACGAGTGGTGACAAATCGTCGACCTCGTTCGGAGTGCTTGCTTTCCAGAATGAATCGAAATGAAGGAAACTTGGTTTCGTTAAATACTTTATCCACTTTGGTTAGGTAATGTGAAATATTATGCTATTATAATCAGTTTTGTAATGAAGGTCTTTACCGCTCTAGTGTGGTAATGAAGTTCATTACCAAATGAAACGTCCAAAATTTGTAGTTCGTGACGAGTAAACTAATACAACAGCCATAGTTTTAAATTGTACACTTAATAATAAATTCTCTGAAATATTGCCTTATTGCTCTTGTGAAATAAATGAAAAACGAAACTGTTTGTTGAATTTGATACATTAATTATTAAATTAATGAAAGAGAACCATATCACTTTTATGTAGTAGATCTACATGTTCCCAAAAAAACAAATAAAAAGCTATCTAACCAAACTAGTGGACACATGTTCTCGCATTATTGCTAAATTTGCTATTTTTGAAAAATCAGAGATTTCATTGAAAATGAGACGTGCACCATTCTGCTAAGCGTCCTGAACGCTATCCGAGATTAATGTTAAATTCAAAAAATTGGAGCCGTTTTCGAGGACATTTTGAAAATGTTTTTGAGAATTCGTACTTTCCAAAATCAAAATATTCAATTCAAACTCAGATGACCTCGAGTTCAGTTAAATCGATTGATGGATATTAATTTTGAATAAAAGCGACTGAATTGTTTTAAAGATCGCATTAGAGATATTCGGACAGACCGAGTGACGGGCAGACTGACAAACAGGCGTTATGCCGTCAGTTGATTTTTCGGTATCAAGGATCAACAAAACATGGATTCCGGCTACACAACGTGTTAGAGGAACTGATTTACTAATTATTTCATTAGAAACAAGATTTATCAGCTTTTTCAAGTCCCAGCAATGAGAGTTTTTCTATCGATAATTCTCATTTTTCGGCGCAATATTGCCAGCTCCGTCAATTTTTACGAAGTATCGGTGAGAAAATAAAAAGTAAAGTAATTAAATTAAACTTGTTCAATGTCATCAGTCTTATTCAATCAAGGGATTTTGGATACACTCCATTATCAGCTTTTAATGTGTTGCACTTCTGTCTGAGAAAACGCTTGGTACCGATTCCACGAACTCCGTGAATTAATTCACCGGGACTGTGTATGGGCAATCTCAAGAGTTTTATTTTTTTCTTAAATTTTAAATTAATTACTATTATCTTTACTAAGCACTACTGCAAGTTCTGTTCAAGAAAATGATGAAAATCACTTCACAAGAAAATGTTCAGAGATTAAAACGAACACACTCCTACAGACCTTAATGATTCGAGAACTCAAAATGAAGTATGTATAGCACATCCGTCTCAAGGTTCCTTTTCTTACATGACAGACGTGGAATAGGAAACAAGAGCCTTGGCAGGCAGGCTTGCGATCACAAGGATTTCCTGAGTAGCGAATGTCTAACCAAGCGTGGTTTTCGACAGTGTAATGAGAATCCACGAGTTTACTGTCGTCATTATGTCAATCAAAAGCAGTAGACGTATAATCAGGCGTGTTGTTTGTTTGATTTAGTAAGGAAGTAAGTACACTGTCTCTTCGTGCACGTATGTCGTTTAACTACCAATGCTACAGACAATACTCAATTATCAAAAGTGACCTTGATCGTAATAAGGTTTACCCAATTCTCTTCTTACAAATACCTTTACGTAATCGAAATTGAATACATACATATTTCCACTTGACCTATCGTGTCTAGTGTAAACTACATAGGATAGAAGCAAATGTAATAGTGATGAGAGGCATATGATGAATACCTAACGGTTGCAATTTTTATTTTATTTTAGTGTCAGCAGTTCGTGTTTTATAAACTATAGTCGCGATTACAAGTTTTCCTGCGCTTAATGTTTTTTTCAATCTTATTCTCTATTTCTAAACTAGGTCGGAAATCGTACAAAATACTTCAAAACAAATTGCCCTTTTTATTCTCGTTGTTAACTGGTTTGAACTGGTGGCACGCTAGAAACATTTCTCCAAAATACAACAGGGCAGAATAGAAGTAGAAAGCAATTTTTTCTACGAAGCGTTTACGTCTGCACTACGTATTCAAATATAGAAATGTTACGCCCTGTGATTGTTGCAGACTTTCCTATGGTCATTATGTCAATAGAAAGCAACAGACGGATAATCGGGCGTTTGATTGATGGAAACATTCTCTGCAGACTTCTTGTTAAAAATTAAAACTTACAAATTTAAAAGTACAAATTAAGAAAAGTCTACTCGTATGGCTTGCTAATTTCTGGAATGTTTTGGCCCGAGTTCGGTGCCTACAAGGATCATTATTTCACATTATCAAATAAAAATTCTTTAACATTTTCAGTTATTATTTCAATGCAAAGGCAAAGGTTGCAAGAAAATGCAGAGCAAGTTAAGTACTGACCATAAGAATCGCTTTAAAAATGTGTACCCGAGAGGCTATTCAAAGCAATTTCCCTCTTGTAGAACTAGATTATAATACACGTACGGATCAATAATTAACTTATAAACTGCTTGATTTATTTATCTGAGTAAGAGCTGCAACTAAATTGACAGGAACACGACATTTAATGACGAACTATTTTTCTACTTAGAACTGGTGCATTATTCCCAATTTTTTCTGAGAAACTCTCGGCTTGTCTTCAATTGTCATATTACTGGCGCGTCTCTGAAGTCGATAGGGTGACGTCGGCTTTGAACGCGCCTTTGTCGACCTATATTGCGGCCGTGGACTTGCTGGTGCTGTCACGAAACGTCGATAGGACATCCTCAACCGTCACGAATCTTATGCGACAAACGCCACAAGCCGCGTGCATGACCTCTGTCGTAGCATGAACTCCGAGTACTCCATCGCACATCGCATGAATCTGGTTTATTTATTTACAAGAAAAACAGGTAAAACTGTGTGTGATGGGGAGAAGTTAATTTGAAGTTACATGTATGTTCAGAAGCAAAACAAGAGGCCATCTCAGCATTTGCTCGAAGATCAGGGAAACTGGACAAAAATCTGATCGAGATGGGAGTTATTGACCCAGAAGCTGAAGTACAATACGTGTTACAGGTTATTTAGAATTATACAATTCAAATGGTATATAATGCATTAAATGTCATTGTTAAAATTAATATTACTTTCCTTTTAAATGCTCGGTATAGTCTCTAATTTTATAGAAACAGTTGTGCATCAGAAAATATTTTACTTAGAACTTAAACTTTTGTATCGAATTTAATCGTTCAATGTCATTTGGCAATGTGTTGTAAAATAATGTAATGTATTATATGTTGTTGTTTTTACTGAGCTGTTGATACTCGCTGTTGATTGTCACCTGATTAATATGATTACAATCATCAAGTGTTGTAGTTATAGACAAAGGTGTTTAAAGTATATAATATAAATAAATTGTTAAAATATAATATTAATGGTTATAAAATATCTAGTAATAGTAAGAATGCGTGAATGTTAATATGAGGTGAAAAATTAACAAAATTTAAAAATTTATTTTTATTTTTAGCTAAAATTAATTATTTTTCTTACATTTTAAGGTTTGAATATAATTTGCAGTTAACATATATAAATAGACGGTGGTATATTCCAAATCGATATAATTCGATACTGTTTAACCGATCTCCATGAAAACTGATACATCAAAGTGTGTTTTTATTCATGGAGAAGGTTTTTATGTTCTTTATTGTAACTCTTCACTCGATGCGCTGGAGCACAAGATCGCGCTGCCGCCCATCAACTTCCACACTTTTCAACAGATCGCCATGAAAATTGATATCTACAGTAGGTATTTGAACTCTGAGAATATTTTCGATTATAGATTCATTAGTTGCTCATTGATAACCGGAAATAATCAATAATGGAATCAACGATAAAATAATAGTTTTGCTTAATATGATTATTTCATAGAAGCACCCAATGTTATTTCATAGAGATATTTATTAAAAATCATCAGAGCGTACAAAAATCAAACCTTTGGCAGAAAAGAGATTCCAGATGTCACTGTTCGAAGTACAGTCTCCAGCAACTTCCTCTTCAAACTCGGCAGAACCTAACCGAATATGCTAACGCTCTCCCAAACACAAATTCAGACCTCCACAAATATTCAAGAGGCATTAATATCCAATATCTCGTAATATAAAATATTAATTTTGAACTATTATATTCAAAGACGAGTTACAAGTAGACACAAATTTCACATCAATTTAATTAAATCTTAAAATTATCCTCTGAAAAAAAACCAGCCTATAACAATCAGCACAATTAGCGTGAGAATGTATTACAAACTATTAATATATGTAATATGTTACCACCCCTAAATGGCAGTTCTGACGAACAGAAGGAAATTGAAAAAAAACCCTGTTCGAAGTTATCATTCAATGCGTTCTGACGCAGGAAGAAGGGACAACGCAGAATAAGGGCGTTTTAGCAAGTTTCACTGTATTGTTCTTAATCGAAGCAACAACAAAAAACGTTACCAAATGTAACATAACTTCGCACTCTTCGGTCACAGGGTGCTATAACCAACGCAGTAATTCGTATAATTTGCGCAAATTTTCTGCATACACGTTCTCCCTTGTTCTCATCAGTACTGAATTGCACGGCACGTTGAGATACTTAGGTTCGACTTGGAACGGCACGTAGCAATGACCAATGCTTGCAACAACCCCCTCATACTTTCAAAACTATCGTAGCATTTCTCGTGGCATGTTGAGGCGATATTTCGGCGAGTTCAGTTCATGCCCAAGCCGCGACGTAGCCAGAGCCCTACTCTTCTCGCACCCCCCGCTATGAAATATCAAGAAAACTAGCGCGTATAGTACCTGTTTATTGGATGTGGTCAGCCGTGGCGACAACGCGTAAATCTTCTTTCGTGCCGGAACGTTGCGACGCGACGCGAGCTTGGGTGCGCGTGTTGATCGGAGTGCTGGCTAGGCCCTTTGCTGCCTTGAGCGCGTGCTTCCGTCTGTAGTCATCTGTAGACAGCACATGCGAGGAGTTCAACGGTTATCGTCTCTTGTGATGAGGATTTGCGATGATGCAGAGCTAAATTCGGGCGAAGTTACATCATAAGCGGCACGCGGTTGGGGCGGCAGTCGAGTGATGTCCGTCACATTTAAATCGATTACAGTTTCCTGTGCGTCTTGCTTTCGCGATGACAACAAAGATCAAGGGTAGTTGTTGCGCGTTTCCGGATTAATTTTTTTTTTTAATCTCGTTTTTCGCATGGACAGCTCTATGTTGCTTGCTACAGATTAGGAACTTGCAACACTCAATCAAGTACATCAATGCACCTAACCAGAAAGTTCAAACTATTGTTTATCCATTTGCGTTTTACTATACCTACCTGTCAGGACAATATATATTCAGGATTCTGCAAGTGTAATATAAGAAATAATTTGAATGTATGGAAACAAATATAAATTATTCTTTAATAAATGGAAAAGAAACCAATCTCATCAAACTGGTAAGTTTTTTCTTTACCATAAGTTTCTTGGTAAAAAATAAATGGTAATAAAATTAATATTGTATGTAGAATATCTTGTGTGTAGAATTTAAATCAGCTATATACTCATAAAGTAATTTAATCTACTAGAGAACGTTTATTGTAATGATAAGCACAATTTACGAAATTGGCAATTCGTAAACCTTAGAAAATGCACACACTTCATTGTATTCGGTTTACTTGTACTTGTTTGTTGTATGGTTTATTTTTAGATAAATGTTGTGGGAACCTATTCTATCGAAAAAACTCCGGTAATTTTGAATAAATTTGTGGAATCAGTGTTCACAATTGCCTGTTTGTGAGCCGATGATTGGAATGCGTGAGTGAGATGACATTAGACAGTAAGCTTTTAGTCTCATTCGTCGTTTGGATTTTGAGATCCTACTTGTGTGGATCCTGCTTAATTTTTATACGTGTCCTCAGGTACTCAAAAAAAGAAAAAGAAAAATGGAGCCGTTTTTGAAAAATAAATTAATTCAAAAATTGCGGAATATCACGCAAAATTGCGCAAAAACCAATCCAATTTCGAAAAGTTGTACTCAACCTTATTTTAAAATCTTTCTGTTCCGTACGAAAGCTGATAACGTCTATTTTAATTACACTTCAAATTTAATTAAACGGGGAAAAAACGGGGTGAAATTTCGTTAAATCTCGAAACCCTCATCCTACAACACTTTGTTCCGTCGTTTTACTTTGCTTCACAAGCGGCAAATCGCGCTGATTGACTGTATCCATGTAACATAGCATACATAATACAACAAATAAAAATAGCATCATTTGAAAAAAGCAACATTAATTTAAAATAAGAACAGACTACTAACATATTTACATATTCAAAAAAGATATCCCTTTTTGTATTTTGACTGAATGGGCACATTCCTGACTGCTTTTAAGCGCTACTTCGTAATTACTGGGCCCTATGTTCACAACATTAGGTCTTGAAGTTATTTTGTAATCCGAAAGTTAAATGGTTCATAGTACACTCCTACTTGAAGAATAGCATTCTTGGTCGAAGCTTCCATTCTCCTCGGCGATCAAAAACCCATTTCTGCATGAAGTCGATCGTCCCCGAATCTTTCTACTTTAGAAATTAGTGTAATTTTACTCTTGATAATTTTTTATGAACACACTCAATTTCGTGGCGATGCGTATGCGACAGTCAGGCGCATTGTCTAATTAATTACTTTATAAAAATGTGGCCTACTCAGTTTATAAATATTATGTAGATTCTTACCACTAAACGAAAAATTCGACCTTATCTGCTGCTACCTAAAACAACTCCTGCGCCTTCACACAAAATAATTATCAAAATTTTCATTCTCTCTGTTTACTAACCCGTATCACGAAGTCCCTTTCCCGGCCTATTGGCTAATGTTGGGCACGCACCATTTAACTACACTTCCACGCCATGTCTTGTGCACATTTAACCACAAATATGGTGTTCAATTTAGTGCGCATTCAATTTAGTTCACCTATCGTAAAGTATTTGTGATAGGCTCGTCCATATTCCTTTATTAATAAATTATTTGTTGCTATTGTTGCTATTTTATCCAAATAGAAATATTTACTTCGCTCTGCATTCATATTTTACACTTTTGAAGCAATTCGTTATATACTACCTTAACTGAACTGATAAATTTCTACAGTTTTATAATGATTCTGTAATAAAGTCAACCACACCAATTAATTGAAATTATATTTTATGGAGGTATAATTAATTTAAAATGCAGATAAACAAAGATGTCCATTGAAATAATCGTATAATATAATTTAAATTACTTTCTCATAAAAGGTTACAGGAAGATGAAAGTGAATACCAATTGTCTAAATGTTAATGATGTAGTTTTGATTTTTAATTCATTGCAAATGTATACTTTGTTTAGATAGCCGCAATATTCAGATAACTGATCGTAGTTTATTTACTGCCTTCTTCATTAGCTTATTTCGATTCACCTATTCGTGAACATTCCTGTAGTCTTCACGAACGACCTAGTGAGAGACTCGACCTGCCGGGACAAGTGTTCATTTACTCGGGGGGTGGGGGGCAATAATTGTCGTTCTCTGGACTTTCCGAGAAACGAATGATTTAACGAGAGCAGTCGATAAATCAGTGCTCGTCACTCCCAGGCCCGCTGCTGCCGGCGCCGGCGAATTCGCAAATCTGATCAGCGCGTCGATAAAGGTCCAGTTCGTCCGTCCATTGCAGAACTCCCTACGGAGCCCACATACGATTTTGAATAATCACTCGATTGCACGAACCAGGTGCGGTGAAATACCGTTAAATTCTCTAACATGAATATTGACGCATTCTTTAAGGCCAGGCACGGGTAGAATTCTGTATTGTTTCTGTATTTGTCATTGTATTTCACTTGTTTACGATGGTACGCACGCTGATCGCGGAACCAAGGATTTTTATTACGAGGATGGCTTCTCTTTTTACATAAAGGAATGGCAGGGGGTCTAGAATTAATGTTGATACAATATGCATTGAAAACATTGAGTTTTAATACTTATTCTGAAGTGTTTATCAGTATTTCAATAGAAAGTATGTTTTTGCTGAAAACTGACATTAGGATTGAAACGTATCATCTGCAGTGCAGCGTGCAAGTGCTTGTATGCTGGCAAAAAATGGTTGCAAGAACCTGATGAAAATTTCACTTCAATTAATCGTAAAATCATAACATCTAATTGCACCATTTCCTACGAAATTTTCTGGCAAAGCACCCTTCACAGCGCACCCTACACTAAATCTGGCAAACTTTCTAATCTCATTTCGAAGTTTTCTGCAGCAATGCACCCACAAACTTTGCATGCTTGCATCTAACGATCCTATACTCAAATTAAGTTCACCAAGGCACTGTGTACATTCTGGATACTTGCATTTATTCCAGTTTCTTTTACTAATTCTAATGTACTATGTATACCTGTGTTTTATTATTTGGTTTTCAAACAAAGCGTCTCAGTACGTGGCAGCACTCATGTACTTTCTTCGATGGTTATTTGCAATTCTTCCCTTCTTTGGGTTAGAAATTTAGAACGAATCATGGAATTCTTTCTTCTTCACACGAAGAAATATTAGAGCCATTTTTTAATATTGACAGCAATGGTGATTCAGACAATTTTCTTTTAATATTTGTCTTACTTCTTCAATAGAAATGGGATCCATTTACGTTACGACGTATATTGTTAAAGAAACCTCAACTTAATCTTCTTCCACATCGACGTTCATAATTGTCCATTATCGATGTGCAATTCCCACCACCGACTTGTTCTAATGCAAGAACAATAACATAAAACAAAATCAATTAGGATCAAAAAATCCTTACTCAGCGCAATACCATGAACTTCATATTTTCTTAAAAGGCAAACTTGTATCATTACATCTTGTTATTTATTTCAGTGAGATTGCTGTATTGTATGTGATAAACAAAATTACCTGATCGAAACCAAAGAAAACTTGTAATATACTGCATTAAAACTTAAAACGGGCAACATTAAATCAGAAGAAAATTTAGTGATTAAATCCCACTTCCGCTCTTTTGAAAGCAAGCCCGTGAGTCCGGTATAGACTCTCCTTGTCACAAAGTGCTTCCGGTTTACAATACGAACAGACGGTGCTGTGCGCGATAAGATAATATCACGAGAACACGTTTACTGCCGATGTGACTCATTGCGGACCAAATTCCGTTTAGATATTTCAGGCGCATTTTTTTACGGACACCTTCTTGCTTCAACTTAAAAAGTTCTTCTGTTTTAGCAATTTTTCGTTTAGCAATTTCAGTTTATAATAATAAATATGAATGGGCGCTTGATTCAATATGAAATGCATTGATGCACTTTGTTCAATATTTCGTGATACTAAATAGTATGCTGTTTTTCGAGTATTAACATTTTGTGATCACTACAAAACACGTCAGCTTTCATACTGAGCATGTTTCTCAGGTAACAAGGTACACGTTAAAAAACGCGGAAAAACGTGCTTTAATCTCCGTGTAAATGAATAACATCCTGTTTCGTCATTTAAATTGCAACTCCCAAATTTCTTTTTGAATAAATGTTTCAAAGATATATCGTACATTAAAAGAAGTCAAATAAAAAATATACTGTTATAGATTGTGCTTTACGGTACGAATTATAATATTAAGATAGAGTGCAAGTATCTTATGCAATGTCCGCGTCCAGAGTATTTTTAATTATAGCTTCCAATTTGGGAAAGTTATATCTGTTCACATATTTGTATCTTACCTAAATATATAAACAGACATTTATTCAAGCTAATGTTTATACAAGACGAATCACCATTATGTAAGTAAATATTCTTCACGACTTATATAACTCACCGTATATTTAGAAAAAGATTACATAGGACGTTTGTATTCTTGGCGATAGAGAAATATACAGTAGTCAAACATCTAATGAGTTGCTGATGCAATTTGCGAATTCGTTTTCGCAACTTATCGAAGCCGAAAAAGGATCGCCATGCTTCCAATCCCTTCTACGCCCCTGGATTCGTTCCCGAGGAACGTAAACACGTCACGTAACGGGTGCGCGAGAAGACGAATCAATCGCGACCTACGCGACTGCGGATTCGCCGCGCCCACAGTGGTAG